CCCCAAAACCCCAAAACCCCAAAACCCCAAAACCCCAAAACCCCAGGAAGTTAGAAAACTAAATTTAAACATATTTGTAAAATTAACGATAAATAAGATATTTATTAAAACTCTATTCCTATCTTTTACCTCTAAGAGAACAAGCTGGACTAAGAAATCATTATTATTTTTTATCATTTGAGATGACTTGATTAGTATAGGCACTGAATAGTTCAAAGAATATATAATCATTTTTCTTATTTAGTTTTTGAATATCGACTTTTAAGTTATTGTTACTTCCGCTTTTTATACTTGCCTGACTTGAATTTAGGTGCTCTAAATTAATCACCTAATGAGAAGGATGTCTTGATAGACTATCATAGAATTAATCTTCATCAGAATCTTCATTCTGTATTTACCTCATACGATTTAGGCTTTGATTCTTGTTAAAGTGAAAATGAGATTCATCTGAGTCACTATTAGTTTTTTCCTCCTCTTCTTCAGTTTCTATAATCATATTATTCTTTAGCTATTTATGCAGTTTTTAGGAGAAGACATTGAGATTATTTTTCCTAGAGTTAAGATTAAATTTATCAGAAGTCGTAGCAGTTGAATCATTACTTATAACTGATTAAGAATCAACCGACATTTCTTCTTCCTTTTCCTAATAGCGCTTTAACCTATTATTCAATCCCTTATTGCTAAATATCTTGTCATCTTGAAGCATATGCTCATCAATCTTAATATCTACTTCTCATTCATTTCTGAGCATTTATTTGACCAATGCGAGTTTTTTATTCTTATTCAGTTTCTCCAAGAAATCCTGTGCATTTACCCTCTTTTATGTTTTCTGACTCTAAATGAATCCATTCACTTTATCTAAGTATCTTTATTGCTTAGCTTTGTCTTAAATTTTTGAAGCTTATTTACTATCTATTAACTCATATGTGTCGTCATCATAATTAAACCTAACGAAGGACATTTGTTTTGAATGCTTTTTATTGTCAGGAGAATTCGTGAAAGAACTTTTATCATCTTGGAACTAAAACATGTCTGTTTCATCCTGGTCATATGCTTGATTAGTTTTATCATTGAAATTCTTATCAAAGACCTTGATTTGCTATCTGCTTACCATTTGATTTTTATCTACTTTGTGATGTTTCTTCATTGAGAGTCTCTTTTACCTTTTATTTGTCAAGTCATTGATAAAACTCTTCAGAATTGAAAGCAGAAGCATGATTGCGAGCAATAGCACGCCCCGCCAGAATTGGGGATGATTGATGATGGTTTTGTATTGCTAAATTATGCTTTATATGAAAGAAGAATTTATGATCTTGAGTAGTAATTTCTGGAAATGCCTCGAGATTAATCTGATGATATTTGCCAAATCAGTCACCTTCATTTTATTAATTAAATAGATGACTAATCTCAAGAGTTAATATAATTAATTTAAATTATTATTTGAGTTGTATTGCAAATACGAGAAATAATATGAAACCAAATAATTTAGCTGCCTAGATCTAAGCAAATAATCACAATAAGATTGCTCAATAGTCAGATGGTTAGTAAGCCAAACTAATTAAGCAAGTAGACGTGAAGCAATATGAGTAAATGGGTCTATATAAGAAGTTAAAGAGCAGAACTGCATAAAATAGCTAAAATTTTGCTAATAATTTGAAGGGGATTTCGTAAACTTCTAATGAAACAGGAAACTTCTAATCATAAAGTTACTTAAATATGAGTCTTTAAAAAGAGTCTATGAAGCTAAATCAAACCTTGTAGAAATTAAAGGAGAATATTTCGACTCATCATATAAATCAAAAGTCTTAAACATAAACAATGCAGGAGATTATGAATAATCCAAATTAGAGTTATTTTTCAGGCCCAATTAAAGGAAGTAGAGAGGCATTACCCACTTTAAATATAGCTTAGATGGAGTCAATGAATAACAAACTTTCTAATGCTTCTAAACAAAATCCAAATCAACCATAGTAATCCAAGATTCCAATCGTTTAAAAGCAGATTGTTTACACCAGGACTGATAGTGTAAAATCAAGTGCAACCACATATCCACATACAACACAGGGAGGATCTACTAAAGTTGTAAGACTAATAAGAGGTGAAAATGATGATTAAATGTCAGCTTTTGGAGACACAAATCGAAGTATCGGATTTTAATCGGCATTTAAAGCTCTGAATAATCCTTCATAAGGAACTGGGCTAGTAAGGAAAATTCAAACTCCTCAGACATTTAAATGCAAGTAAAAGCCAGCCAAAAGATCTTCGCAATTAAAAGGCTAAAGTCAAGGCAACAGTATTATATTAATGAACTAAAGTGACTATAATCCATTCGTTGGTGGAATGCAGCACCATAATTAATCAGTCTAAAATAATGTGTTTAATCCATTCACAGCAAAAGCTTCTCCTTAGCCAGCATCAAGATTAATATACACTGAAAACAAAAATGATCATTAGAATGCTATGACGTATGAAGATAACATTCATATATAGGTGTAAGACAAATATGAAGACGATGATTTTAACACAAAGAAGTCAATTGAGGATGATGCTGCAGAAAATAAAATGAATTTTAGTTTTGCTGAAGGAGAAAATAATAATAGCAGTAATAATAGCTTTGGCAAGTCAAGTTCTTAGGTGCAGACAGTTTAACAACAACCATTGATAAATAACGAGTATTATCACACTTCAAGTCTAATCAAAGATAATCAAAGCAAGAAAGCAACTAACTACATGCAAAAAAGAGGCAAGAAAGAAGATGAAATCATTAAAAAGTATGGCATTAAAAAGATTATACCAACTTAGCAATAAAGTAAGTTAAGATAAGAGACTAATACAAGCAGATAAACTGATAGATCTAATAATACTGTATTCTCCTAAGGATCAAACTATAGTAGGAAAGAAAAGGCGCCAGCAAAATAAAGATCAGGAGCAGAGAGTAATACTTCTAAGGCTTCATAAGCTAGAAGTAATGGTAGTATGGCTTCAACAGGATTTAATTAGAAAAACCCTGTGATGTCAAGTGCTCGTGCTCAAATGGAAACTTTCAAAAATCCTTTCACCCAGACATAAAAGATACCACAAGTTTAATCAAAGTAGTCAGATTCACAACTAGGATAATAATAGTAGTAATAATTGACAGAACCTTTCAATCCTTTCAAATAATAGATGTAATAGGTAAAGAAGCCGATATATGGAAGTGTAAGTCCAGAGAAACAAAGATAAATGAACAACTTAAATAATTTTGGAAATACTAGTAATACAATTCCCACTGAGAGGAGTGATGCTAGTGAAAAGACCAATAAATTCAAACAATTTCAAAATAAGCTAAAAGCTTATGGGGCTGTTTATTAGTGATGAAATTTGATTTACATCTAAGTAAAATATTCAATTCTTATTAATTTATAAAATTTTTCATCCAGGGGTTTTGGGGTTTTGGGGTTTTGGGGTTTTGGGG